TAAAAGGAGAAGGCATCCACACCATTTGTAACAACCAAGAGAGCAAGTAGTAAGAAGTGAGAGTGTCAAGTAAGAAGTAAGAAGAAGCAACAAAGCTTCTAAGAGTGTTTGAGTGTTTTCTCTTGTACTAAATTTGTGAGTGAATAAAAACCTTGTGTAATACTTTGAGAATTCTTTCTTTCTCTTGCCTATCAATTCCGCTGCATTATATTCTTCTTTGTGAGATAAACATCTCCAGAGTAGTGAAGCATTTTTAAACCCCAACAATGTTTACAGAGACTATAAAGCAACACACTCTAACTAACTAGGCTGATGTGGCAATACCACTTTGCCTCTAACAAACCAACTTATTACATCTAACTACACCAATCATCAAATGACACCTGCATATTCAATTACTTTGGTTATTACCCATGGCCACAGTCACTTTAGAATGGTTATTAAACATACAGAAAATCACAAGGGAGACGCTGACGCATGACGGAAGCCAAACTGGAAACAACTACGTATTCAACTAGGAATGTCTTGAATCGGCGATGAAAAACACTGAAATAACTTATGAAAAAGTGTTGATTGATAGCTGAGAATTGAAAAACTAAGGGTACAAACCACCCTTAATTATAAAGCTGCATGATACATAAATGCATGTATGCTACATATACGTGTAGTTCCGTTCTAAATTTCTAATCCTCCCTGGTTCAAGAAATTAATTGTAGTCACCCACCGTTCAGTCAATCCAACGATAGGTATTTCATTTAACTTTTTTGTTGTACTTTTTTCTCCACCATTGTATTAAGATCGAACCTCGAGTGCTTTCAACCTAGAACCTCGATTGCTTGCATTCGGCTGGGAGGCCTTGTGTTAAGCGTTTAAGATCAGAGCAGTATTTGAAGACCATGAAACTTTTGTTGCACCCAACGAAGCCTGTTTCGGCCTGCGGTATCACGCCCTTGAGTTTTCCATGCACTCTGTTCTGTCAATGAATTAGTACTAGTGAAGGCACAGAAGGATGACGACCCAGCAGTACAAGCACAGTTAAAAATGATATGGGCACAACCAAAATGTGTTGTAGCCCCAAAAACACGAAACTGCAAAAACTAATTAAAAATGATTAATAAGCTGATCAACATGCAAATCTGTCTTCACATGTCATAACTAGCATCGGGCTTCTATTATTAATATGCAAATCTGTCTCCAGCCAGCCACCAATATAGTTTGTATTATATTGTACAATATAATATACTATTGCATCAACTTCGGCACTGCTAGTAAGTCAAAACCTCAGGCACCTCCCCCAGTTCTGCAAAGGGAGCTTAAGATCGTTAGGGTTTTAATTTTTTAAATACTGCCAGCTCTATTCAACGCGGCATGCTAGATATATATATAAAGGGCTTCAGAACTCAAATTATAGCATCAAAACCAAAACAGTCTCACCACTCCCCGTCATATTTCCCTTCAAGGCAGCTTATTCTTCTATTGCTACCTCTATCTTTATCTTTTGTTCTACTACTAGAAATGTCTTATTCATCTAAGGTTTCGATGATACTTTTTCTTTCTTTGTTCATAAATTCTTTGATGGCCATGGGTGCCCCAGCTGGAAATTTCTATCAAGACTTTGACATTACATTTGGCGATGGACGTGCTAAGATACTTGACGGAGGAAAGTTTCTCACACTCAACCTTGATCAGGTTTCTGGGTCTGGTTTCAGATCTAAGAATGAGTATTTATTTGGAAGAATTGACATGCAAATCAAGTTGGTGTCTGGAAACTCAGCTGGAACTGTCACTACCTACTATGTAAGTACTCTCAATCTATACTGTAAAGATTTAGAGAGACAGACTAATTGGCCACTGCTAACGAACACGGATATTGGCCCTAATTTAAACTCTTCCATTATTGATGTAGTCTCAATTTTGTTGTTCCATTTTTGTTATATATGCAATTGCATTGCTAATTTTTGAAACAAAAATGCATATATATGCAGTTATCTTCTGAAGGTTTGACTCATGACGAGATTGACTTTGAGTTTTTGGGTAATTCAACAGGTGAACCCTACACTCTCCATACAAATGTGTTCAGCCAAGGAAAAGGGAACAGAGAACAACAGTTCCATCTTTGGTTTGATCCAACAAAGACCTTCCACACCTATTCAATTGTCTGGAACAGCCAAAACATTATGTAAGTGCATACACCCACAACTAACTAATTTTTTTAGGTCAGATGTCACCAATTATATAAACCACTTTCTAATGCATGCAAGTGAAATGTTATGCAGATTCTTGGTGGACAGCATTCCAATCAGAGTGTTCAACAATTTGGAATCAGCCGGAGTCCCATTCCCTAAAACCCAGCCCATGAGGGTTTACTCAAGTCTTTGGAATGCCGACGACTGGGCAACAAGAGGTGGCCTTGTCAAGACTAACTGGACTCTAGCTCCTTTCACTGCCTCTTACAGAAATTTTAAGGCCGATGCTTGTACAGCTGGATCATCATCCTCATGTGCCTCAACCATACCTACTAATCCATTGACAGAGCAGAGTGCATGGAAAACTCAAGGGATTGATGCCGCAGGCCGAAAAAGACTTCGTTGGATGCAACAAAAGTTCATGATCTACAACTACTGCTCTGATCTTAAACGCTTCCCAGAAGGCCTTCCAGCTGAATGCAAGCGATCCAGATTCTAATTTGGAAGCGAGACTATAAATCCAGATGATCATATATCCTCTCTTCTCATGTGCAGCATTCATTTTCTTGTATCACCAATTCCCTTATTATATATATGTATTCTTTTATTCGTTTTTTTTATTCCCCCATGGTCTGTGTATTCTTGAACTGAATTGAGTTTTAGAATCATAGCCTTTATGATTACCAAATGATTAGTCCAATTTGTTCAACATTACCAGCACTCCATATGTTTGAAAGCAGCATCAATGTGGAAAACTTGTGCTTGTTTAGCTCTCTAATTCATAGCTAATTTTGATACGACTAGCACTCCGAGATTTTGATATCAATAGACTATGGTGAACACATAAATACCATAAAGAAAACAATCAACCAAACACAAAGCAAATAAAATTTTGATCTGTGTTACAATAAAGAAACGGGAGCAACTCAGAAGATAGCATGTTGAAGAAAATAGATCACTTGTGTAGTTCTCACACACCTGCCGGGCTACTATATAATTTGTATTGAAGTTTATATAGAGTAGGAAGATAAGGTTGATCTAATTCAGATGACTAGTCCTTCCTAGTTGAAGTTTATATTGTGTCAAATGACATACGCCGTGTGAAATGTAAAATAATTGCGGTTCTCCGCATTTTCTCTTATTCATTATTTAGAACTCTTCTTATCTTGACTACTATTAACTAGAACAACTTCAAAACTTAATATATTTTCTTTCGCCTATACATGTATGTAAAAACTAAATGAAAAAAAGCATTGTGAATTTGATAGAAAGAAAGGTTTGCTTACTTGTGAGGAAAGACTAGCTAATAAGCGAACAAACAAGAGCTCCTACCTAAGAACTCCAACGAGAAAATGGGAAATTTTAAGAAATCCCTCCCTTGTCACGAGTAGCTACTGCATAGTGAAAATCCTGCTCGAGTGACTCTCAAGGTGCACGAGCAAATTTAAATTTGTTATGCGGGTTTTGGGTGGTTTTTCAAGGTTTTCTTATTGTTTTGGGATTCCTATTCTAACCTAAAGAGTATCTATTACAAATAGGACTTTGGAATGGTTATTAAACATAAATAAAATCATAAGGGAAGCACTTGATGCAGGACGGAAGCGAAACTAGAAGAAACTACGTATTCAACTAGGAATGCCTTGAATCGGCAATGAAAAACACTCTGAATAAAAGAAACTTATGAGAAAGTGTTGACTGATAGCTGAGAATTGAGAAACTAAGGGTATAAACCACCCTTAATTATAAAGCTTATGATACATAAATGCATGTGTGGTACTGTTGGTATTCACAAGAGTTTGCTAACTCAATACCAAAATAGATGTGGGTGATAAGTTTACAAACTCTATCACACCTCTCACTTTCACTCTCAATAAAATTGGACAAGGAAAGAAATAGAGAAATAGAGAAAGGAGGGAAGCAACAAGCTTTGGTAAAACACTTGCACTTAGATATATGAAAAGAGAGTTTACAAACTCAATAGCTTACAAGCTGAAATTAAATGAATGGGAAATGGGATTCGGATGGGATGATCTAAAGCTTAGCAAGATGGCCTATTTATACAAAACAGAAATTAATAAACAATGCAACAACACATGCAATGAATGGGGTGTTTAACATCTTTACACCCTTTAAAACACATGCAGGAACTTTGGACAGTCTAGCACTCATATGCAGCTATCTTTCCAGCTTGCAATCAACACTCTTTCGGCTAATACATCACATGGCAGCACACTGCTGTCTTGTAATCAGCTTTCGGCTAACAGATGGAGGGAGCAATGATCTTTGTAGTTGCTGGAAACAACCTGGAAAGAAACTAACAGCTTGCTTTAACCATTAACAACCTGTTTTGATTTGATTTTCCAACATGTACAACACATAAACGTGCAGTTCCCTTCTCCTAGACCTCCATGTTTGAAGAAATTGTTGTCACCCAACGTTCGATCTTAATCCAATTGTAGGTGTTCATTTAACTTTGTTCATGGACCATAGGATCTAGGTGAACACAAGACAAGACGCACGCTTGTTGTCTAACCTCTATAAATTTTTCTCTTCATGTATGTTTACTCTGTGTTTGGTTGATTGTTTGTGTGTTCCTTATAGTCCATAGATAACAATATTCTGTTAAAAAAGTGTTCGTACAACAGAAAGAACTAGTCCTGTCATATTTAGCTATATATGAATAATGATTACTGATCTTGTTGAAGAAATTAGACAATTATCATTTGGTAAGTATAAATTATTTGATTCAAGAACTCAATTCAGTTCAAGAATGCACAGACTATGGTGACACGAAGTTCATATTTGCTCAATGAATGAAAGAATAATATTTAATAAATGAATTTGGAATACAAATAAATGAATTAATATGATGCACATGAGACGAGCGGATATATGATCATCTGGGTTTCTCTTCTCGCTTTCAAACTAGAACCTCGATCGCTTGCATTCAGCTGGGAGGCCTTGTGGGAAGCGTTTAAGATCAGAGCAGTAGTTGTAAACCATGAACTTTTGTTGCACCCAACGAAGCCTGTTTCGGCCTGCGGCATCAAGCCCTTGAGTTTTCCATGCACTCTGCTCTGTCAATGAATTAGTAGATGTAGTGGAGGCACAGGAGGATGGTGAGCTAGCAGTACAAGCATTGGCCTTGAAGTTTCTGTAAGAGGCGGTGAAAGGAGCTTGAGTCCAGTCAGTCTTGACAAGACCACCTCTTGTTGCCCAGTCATCTGCATTCCACAAACTTGAATAAATCCTCATGGGCTGGTTTTTAGGGAATGGGACTCCAGCTGATTCCAAGTTGTTGAACACTCTGATTGGAATGTTATCCACCAAGAATCTGCATAAATTTTGCACACGCATGTATTAGAAAGTGTTTGCAAATAACTGGTGGTACTCTCCACACGCCCCCTTGTGTGTGACATGGATTCTGACCTAAAGAAATTAGTTAAAGATGAAGGCATGCATGTAGTACTTACATAATGCGCTGCGAGTTCCAAACAATTGAGTATGTGTGGAAGGTTTTTGTGGGGTCAAACCAAAGCTGGAATTGTTGTTCTCTGTTCCCTTTTCCTTGGCTGAAGACATTGGTATGGAGAGTGTAGGGTTCACCAGTTGAGTTGCCCAAAAACTCGAAATCAATCTCGTCATGGGTTGGACCTTCAGAAGATAACTGAAAATATGCAATTTGTTTAACAAATTAGCAATGCAATTATGGAATATATATTTAGAATTAAAGGGTATAATTACGAGGGCAGTACTAGTACTTACATAGTAGGCAGTAACGGTTCCAGCTGAGTTGCCGGAGACGAGCTTGATCTGCATGTCAATCTTTCCAAATAAGTACTCATTCTTGGACTTGAAGCCAGACCCAGAGGCCTTATCAAGGTTGAGTGTGAGAAGCTGTCCTCCGTTGAGTATCTTGGCACGTCCGTCGCCAAATGTAATGTCAAAGTCTTGAAAGAAATTACCAGCTGAGGCAGTCATGGCCATTAGAGAAGTTGTGAACAGAGAAAGAAGAAACACCATATTCATTGGTACCTTACAAGAAGACATTCTAATAATTTGGTGAAAATCGCGCAGAGAGAGAGAGAGAGAGAGAGAGAGAGAGAGAGAGAGATGATATTGTGAAGAAGTTGTTTTGATGGTGTAATTCAAGTTTTAATGTCCTATATATATGTGTGTGCGTGTGTGTGTGTGTGTGTGTGTGTGGTGGGAGACCTTATGACGCGTTGAACAAAAAGAGCAGCTGGCAGCTGATTCGGTATGCGAACTTTGTTTGATTTTGCGTTTGGTGGTGCCCAACTTCAGAGCTGGACACAGGTTTGCAATTTCTGTCTGACTAAAGTAGGCAGGAAGCAGCATACGAAAACGGTCAGGTTTATATGATAGCTTTGTGAAGCATTTAAGTTGGTATCGTTGGAATCACACTTACAATTAAGTCAATGGAGAGAAACTCTGTTGTAACCAATATCTTGTCATAGTTACACCACTTGACGGCATTCAAATAATATATTAATTGTTTGTTAGATAGTTGTCAAATATGTTATATATTCATTGATGTAATTAGAATATATTCCAATTCATAAATATATATATATATATTTTTTAAGGGGACCAGTTAGTGGTTTTGCCACGGGCAGTCCACCCTTCTAGGGGCCGGGAAGACTCAACGGCATTTCAACCTCCATTGACCACCATCGTGTGATTCACTAATGCTAAGAGTCGAACACATGACGTGCCGTATGAAATACAGGTCTGAAATTCGTCCCCCACCTGAGCAACCCCGTTCAATTCATAAAAAATTAACAATGTTGTATATTATCACATTAAAATAAACAAAACAACACCAGCACCATAACATCCAAATTCTTTTTGGAACATATGGACTAAAAAGTATTTGCGCGTTCGGTGGTAATGTTTGCGACTACGCGTACGCTTTCTCTCTCTCTCTCTCTCTCTCTCTCTCTCTCTGTTTTTTAAGCTAGCAGCCTACAGGGTTGTGCACCTAACAATGAGTTCACATTTGTGAATAACATGCAGAATCAAAATACTCAAATTGTAGGTATGTGTGTGTGTGTGTGTGTATATATATATATATAGAGCGACTAAAACTAGTACCTGCATGGCAAACGTAAAAGTTTAGGTTGCGACAAACTAAGCCACATCACTTAGAATTACAGGAAAAGATTAGTATCCAGTCCTTAGTTACTAATGTTCATTGATTGAAACCTTATTAGTTTTCAGATTTTGATTCAAGTCCCTAGTATTAATGTAATAATGAATTTACATGTCAGTTACATAATTTTTTAAAATAAAAATTAATAATTGATTTAGAATTTTAATAGTCACACCTTTATTAAACTCTTAACTAATTTTCAATTCAAATCATTTCCAAAAATAAATAAAAATTAGAATAAGTTTGTACCCATTAGTTTTTTTTTTTAAATGTTTTCAATTTTTTAATCTTATATGTACCCATTCATGTAATTTTCTCAAATTTTTAATATTAAAATTTACTCATTCTTAAATATACCAATTTGTTATATGTAAAATATACCCTTTTTTAATATATAAAATCTATGCAATTTTTTTCTAATCCATTTTTAAACTTATATGGATACATTCTTTTTTCTTTGATTTGAGAATGTATCTATGTCAAGTTTAATCGAAGAAATTTACTAATGTTATTAAGCCTAAGATTTTTTTATTTTTTTATTTTTTTGCAGGTTTGAAGAATGTACCCATGTTTTGGTACAATAATTTTTTGGTTAATTTTGATGAATGTAACCATGTTTATATATATACACACAATAGTATAATTTATATTCTAAATTTTTTAATCCCACAAATTATGGGTTTTTATTTAAAATCTCATTCGTATAAACAATTATAAATTTCAATTTTTAATTTAAAAAATATAGTAACATACATAGTTAGGGACTACATCCAAAGTTTTTGTAGTTACAAATACTGCTAGCTGTTGCTACAAGTGAAATACGCAGTAATGCATGGGCTGGATTTGCTCCTTTCAAATTTCAAATCATCAAATGCTAAAGGTTTCTAGATAAATCATGATACATATGCATGGTCACGTGACTTTTATTTTGATGCAAAGTAAGGTTGTGATTCGGTTCACAAGAAATGACCAGGAAATTATCAAACATAAAAGTTTTTGTTTTTGGTTATCTTCACCATCTAATGCACGGCCTTATGCATTTTCCGCTTTTATTTTGTCAACAATTTATTTTTTATTTTTTTTATTTTTTGGAAAACGTCGGTAGGACAAGGTAAATTTATTGATAGAAAAAAAAAAGTTACACCTAGTCAGGGGGGACATACACCTACCCCTCATAGAACAAGAAAAACGAAATACAAAGAGGAGGGACATACACCTTACCCATTTTGAAAAAGAAAATACAAGAAAAAGAGGGGGAGGGGGGCGGGACATAGACCACACCCCTCTTGAAAAAGAAAATACAAGAAAAAGATTGGGTGGACATATACCCAAACCCCTCTATAAACCTTAAAAGATAAGAAACTGCAAAACAAGCTGCAAAACGAAAAAGGAAATCCAAAAAGATTAGGTAAAAAAGGGAAATCACACGTCAAGAAGAGAAGACAAACCTGTAAGCTGGCATGCCTAAGAAATCTGAGTGCAGAAGAGGAAGAACCTCTATAGAAGGAGCGGAATGCCAAACAAGTGAAGATGAGAGAAGCCCTAAATTGGCTAATTTGTCAGCAACGACATTCCCTTCTCGAAATGTATAGGAGCAACGGAAAACCATGTTTTGCAATCGGAGAATACAATTGTTCCAGCGTGTCTGGAGCGACCAAGGAGGAGAGAAATATCCAAAAGCGAAACAAGATATCATGCTAGAAGAGTCACATTCAAGCCATAAATTTTGCCAACCTCGCGAGTGAGCCAATTCCACACAAGGATGATATCATGGAGCTCCGCATAGAAAGAAGTACAATGCCCCAAACTTAGGGAGAAACCACCAAGAAAATAGCCCGCATAATCTCAAAAAACGCATTATTCAATCTAATGATTCGAAAATAGAGAATGTGCAAAATGATTTAGCAATAGAAATGAGTAGTCTATCTTCTTATACACACACACATGCAATATTTTACCTTTTTTGATATGAGACTATTATAACTTCAGATCCTCTCACAAATTAAGTTAAATGCATAAATCATTGCCGATAAAGAAATTGCTAGATGAAGCCTAATTTTTATTTTATCCCATAAAGAAATTGCTAGATGAAGCCTAATTTTTATTTTATTTATTTTCCAACTTCTATACGTGGGACTTTGACATGCACACTACATTAATGCGATTGATAAATTTATGTGTTGATTGGAAATTTTAGGTTATGGTGTAGTAAGATCCTCCAAAAAGTCACTTGATCATGACGAGGTTGATATCTCACTTCTAATGTATGATCTTGCTTGTAGATTTCAAGATATCCCGTTCGTAAGATTAATTTTGCGACAAATGTTCTTTGACATGTGGGTCACTCTGCTCCCACTAATTCTATTTAGTTGCAAACCCTGCTAAAGAGGCAAGATCAACATGGAGGCTTTTGTAATTTTAACTGCCCTAGAAGGTTTTCTTTGTATGTATAACTAGTTTATATTTTAAGGTATAGTATTGTTAAATAAAACACTGAAATAACTTATGAAAAAGTTTTGATTGATAGCGGCGAATTGAGAAACTAAGGGTACAAGCCACCCTTATAAAGCTACAAGATACATAAATGCATGTATGCTACATAAACATGTAGTTCCGTTCTAAATTTCTAATCCTCCCTGGTTCAAGAAATTAATTGTAGTCACCCACCGTTCAGTCAATCCAACGATAGGTATTTCATTTAACTTTTTTGTTGTACTTTTTTTTCCACCATTGTATTAAGATCGAACCTCGAGTGCTTTCAACCAAGAACCTCGATTGCTTGCATTCGGCTGGGAGGCCTTGTGTTAAGCGTGTAAGATCAGAGCAGTAGTTGAAGACCATGAAACTTTTGTTGCACCCAACGAAGCCTGTTTCGGCCTGCGGCATCAAGCCCTTGCGTTTTCCATGCACTCTATTCTGTCAATAAATTAGTACTAGAGAAGGCACAGGAGGATGATGAGCCAGCAGTAAAAGCACAGTTAAAAATGATATGGGCACAACCAAAATGTGTTGTAGCCCCAAAATCACGAAACTGCAAAAACTAATTAAAAATGATTAATAAGCTGATCAACATGCAAATCTGTCTCCAGCCAGCCACCAATATAGTTTGTATTATGTTGTACAAGATAATATACTATTGCATCAACTTCGGCACTGCTAGTAAGTCAAAACCTCAGGCACCTCCTCCAGTTCTGCAAAGGGAGCTTAAGATAATTAGGGTTTTAATTTTTTAATTACTGCCAGCTCTATTCAACGCGGCATGCTAGTTTATATATATAAAGGGCTTCAGAACTCAAATTATAGCATCAAAACCAAAACAGTCTCCCCACTCCCCATCATATTTCCCTTCAAAGCAGCTTATTCTTCTCTTGCTACCTCTCTCTTTATCTTTTGTTCTACTACTAGAAATGTCTTATTCATCTAAGGTTTCGATGATACTTTTTCTTTCTTTGTTCATAAATTCTTTGATGGCCATGGGTCCCCAGCTGGAAATTTCCATCAACACTTTGACATTACATTTGGCGAGGGACGTGCTAAGATACTTGACGGAGGAAAGTTTCTCACACTCAACCTTGATCAGGTTTCTGGGTCTGGTTTCAGATTTAAGAATGAGTATTTATTTGGAAGAATTGACATGCAAATCAAGTTGGCGTCTGGAAACTCAGCTGGAACTGTCACTACCTACTATGTAAGTACTCTCAATCCTTACTGTAAAGATTTTAGAGAGACAGACTAATTGGCCACTGCTAACGAACACGGATATTGGCCCTAATTTAAACTCTTCCATTATTTATGCAGTCTCAATTTTGTTGTTCCATTTTTGTTATATATGCAATTGCATTGCTAATTTTTGAAACAAAAATGCATATATATGCAGTTATCTTCTGAAGGTTTGACTCATGACGAGATTGACTTTGAGTTTTTGGGTAATTCAACTGGTGAACCCTACACTCTCC